TCTAACTTCACACCCCCAGATTTTTTCATTTTTAAACATAAATTGCCTTAAGTGACATTACTTGAGGCAATTTATTTAGACTTCGTACAGCTCACTCTGGAGTAACAAAATACCTTTTTACAACTTGCTTTCACATCGGCAATAGTTTGAGCCAGGAGATGGCTTGTTTAGCTTTGCATGAAGACTGGAAACAAAGGGAAACAGCTGGCTGTTCAAAACTAAAGAGACAAAACAAAAACTACCCGAGATTCTTCAGGCTGTTAGAATCACACACACACACACACACACACACACACACACACACACACACACACATACAAGGAGGAGTTCACTGACACTGTTGGGCAAAAATGTCACATTGACACCATGGATTGCAGTTATGTGACTCATGTCACCCTGACACCCAAGGGAACAATTACCTGTTTGATTTTACATTGTATTTAATGCAAATTTAGATCACATTACCTATTATTGAAGATTCTGAAGATAAAGATGTAATCAGATTATCCTCTTCTCATTCAGAATATGGCGCACACTCAAGTGTGCCTGTGTAGTTGGCTTGCACAGACACTGTAAGTATACAAATGAGTGAGCCAGAAAGCCTTTTTCATCCAAATGGAACAGCTGGACTCAAAACGTAGCAACAGGTGCTTCTTCACCCCTAACACATCACCTGGCAGCCAAAAGAAATCACAGTCTACTTTACTCTGTGTCCCTTTGTTTCCTCTCTCGTCTGTCTCTTTGTCTTGATTCCTCTCTCCCTCACTTTCTGCTCCTCTCTCTCGCCGCTTCGCCTCTCTAACCCCCCCCCCCCCTCTCAGTCTCCGTTTCGTTCCCTGTGAATTTCTCTCTCTAAGCAGTCACACTTCAGCCAAAACAGATGAGTCTGGAATTTTCCACACTGCACTCAACGATGAGTGACAGCAGTCCTCCGTGGGAGAGTTTTCTTCCCTCTATATGAGAGTATAGCAATTCTTCAGCAATCCTTCCCCCCCCCCTTGTTTGGGCTAACACCTATGGACGCAAAATCGCAATGGTCCTCACAGTGCCTCCCTGCCTCTCTGTTTCCTCTGCACAGGGACATCCAGTCATCTGAATTAGGCTATTCCATGCCGTTGCCCAATTGCCCAGCAGCATGAGGCTCAGATCGCAGCGGTTAATCTGAGCGAGAGCATCAGCCTGCCTTTAAATCCCACAGTAAAACCCCGGCAACACCATCTGTGTGGACACTAGCATTTCGCTTGCACAAATAATATATGTGTCCAATGTTTTGAGCGTGCAGGGATATATCTCCTCGAGTCCTCGAGTGAAAGAGTGTATGTAAATGTGTTTGATCATAGAAGGACAGGTGTACTTTTTCCTCCCCACTGCATCACTCTGATTCACAGCCATGAGCACACCTGGCTGCCTCCATCCCTCCTCCATCTATCTTTATCCATCCTTCCTCTTCTTTGTTTCCAACTCTTTCTCTTATCCTTGATTGTCTTTCCCCCTTTTTTTGTCTGTACAGTAAAAGCTAAAGCCATATAAGTTGTCTTTTCTTCCCCCCCACCTCTATTTATCAGGCCATCCTTGCTTTTCATTCCTCAAAATGTTTCTCTCTCTCTCTCTCTCTCTCTCTCTCTCTCTCTCTCTCTCTCTCT